GTGTTGGAGGGGGACCCCACCAAGGGATAGTGAGAGAGACCCCCTGCAGACAAAAGAGATGCTCTGATATTTATACATTTCAGGAAAGGGAAAGGGAAAAGGATGCATCATACCTACTCATATGATGATGCAGGCATAGATAAGTAAGTAATAGACGTCAAGTTACTTTCTGTCCCTCTGTTATCTACTATCTACAAGGAATACAATAGCCTTACTGAAAAGAGGGAACAAATCAGTTCAAGGTGCCAATGCAGGAAGAACACATCCTCCTTCAAGACAGATGCCTCGGTAGTTCAGAGCAGCTCCAAGGTTGCTGCACATTCCTTTATGTTTCCATTTTATTAAGGTGCTCCCATTCATCTGAAGCCTCTAGACATTTACTTTCTTCACCCAAAAAATGTAATTTCCCCACAATAATAATCTTCCCATTTCCTTACAATTACTGTTCTCCAACTGATATGTTTATTTGGAATATTTAGAAAATAATTACTGCCCTGGTACACAGCATTTGGGACCGGCATCTGCACTACCCTGCCATTGTAGCCATTAACAGAGGTGACATTTGACAGATGTGGCCTGGATTTGTGATTATCCTGAGAATTGTCAAATTTCTTTCAGTTCCTAATTTATGTTGGTTTATGAACTTTTTGTTACTCACTTGCAGCCCTCTGATCCTGCTGATTAATTGTCTTTAGCTTGTGGATGTGGAATGGACTGATTTAATTTTTCTTTTTCAGGTGTGCAGTATGTTTTTGGTTCGGTAAAGGAGTTTAGTTTGATATTAACTGTTCTTATAATATTTGCTTATTTTTGTTCCAGGCATGCCATTTGCATTTGTATGAAGACTGGAAATTTCAGACTTCTGGAGAAAATCTTTTAATTAATCATGTATCTAAGGAAGATGAAGGAATATATATATGCAAAGTTAAACATACATATATGGGAAAAGAATATAATATTTCACGGACCATTAATCTAACTACTTTTGGTATGTAACTTTCATCTTGTTTTTGGTGCAGTGTTTAGTAGTAGATGCTTTACGTAGTTATTGGCATATCGCAGAATGTAATTTATTTTATAATATAAATTGAATTCTTTTTTGTTATCGCTGGAACCTGTAAAACCTAAATTTGCAATAAAGTCTTCTTACATTATTCCCTCTGCCCTACATACCATATACTACTTGAAAACATATTGGGTTCTGGCTGTTCTGAGTGTGTTGTGCTGTATATTTTAGCAGAAACAAATTGCCAGAACCACCAGTTGCATGTAAATGAGTAAAACGTTTCCATCAACAGAATCCAAGTATGTTCAGGAACATTAGTACCTGCATATAAACAGTTAATAGTCTTTCGTTTTCATGCTATTATTGCTTTAATAATTTATGGATATGTATCACAAATCTACTTTTCTGATTATATAACTCTGACGCACTGATATGACACTTTAGTAACTAAGTACTCTAACTGTGGCAATAAAATTCATTCCAAACTTTAAAGTAGCGTTGCAATAGATCTTATAATTTTTATTTATTTCCAGTAATTCTTTATTTTTTAGAACCACTAAAGAAAAAATCTCTAGAGATAATTTACCCAAAGAACAACTCAGTTGAAGTCAAACCAGGTAAGTCATTAGTTAATTTGAAAAAGAGACTGCTTTTAGCAGTCCTAGGTAAACTCTAAAATGTTATGATTATTCACTCACTATTTCATTATTTCTGATCTGCAGGATCCAGATTTGACATGGTTTGTAATGTCTCAGTAGATCCTCTGGATAGAGCATCTCTAGTCTGGGAGTTCAATGATGAGAACTTAAAAAACATAGATAAGGAGTATAAGTAAGTACAACAGGATATTTTCCAATGGTCTCTGAATTATTACATTTTCATTCTATGCTGTGGGTTTAAAAGGTTACATAAATATGAGCCATCCTTCAGTTTGAAAAAAATCCAGGGAGCTGCATAGCTTGTTCAGCGCAGGAATGGCACAACACTAATAGGAGTTCCTAAAATGCACTTCTTAATGCCTTCCGTCCATTTTATAGTAAAAAGAGAGAATTGTATTTCTTCTTCTTTTTTATTGTGAGCCGCCCAGAGTCACCCATGGGGCAGATGGGCGGCATACAAGCCGAATAAATAAATAAATAAATAAATAATGAATAAATAAAAAGGAACTACCTGATTCAGGGGTCTGGGTGTTTATCCAGCACATAACAAGAGGTTTTCTGTATTCTTAAACTGTGCATCTGACATGTTCTCTTTCAGTTGCCATCTGCGCGTGGTG